GTATGTAGATGATATTGTTCTTACTGGGACTGATTTAGAAGAAGTTTCTGCCTTAAAAGCTTTTCTTCATGATCAGTTCAAAATCAAAGATTTGGGTCTTCTTAACTACTTCCTTGGTATTGAGGTGTTGTACTCTCCTTCTGGGGTTCTATTGCATCAAAGGAAGTTTATTCATGATCTTTTAAAGGAGTTCCATTGTGATGCCTGTTCCCCTGTTATATCTCCCCTTGAGTTACATGAGAAACTTAAAGCTAAAACAGGGGATTCTTTGCCTAATCCTGAAGTTTATAGAAGTCTTGTTGGGAAGCTCAATTTCTTAACACACACTAGGCCTGATTTGTCTTTTGTTGTTCAGCATTTAAGCCAATTTATGCAGCATCCTTGTACTCCTGATATGAAGGTTGCCCTTCACCTATTGAGATACATTAATGGTACTTCAGATCATGGCACTTTTCTTCAACAATTCTTCAGATCTTTCTCTTCAGGTGTTCTGTGACAGTGATTGGGGCTCTTGCCCTGACAGTAGAAGATCAGTTAAAGACAACGACCACTCCGAAATCATACTTTTTCTATAGCTATACTAAATAATAATGTTGCGTAACTTGTCTAAAGCAGGAAGCAAACAATAAATTAAAAAGTAAAAAGAAGGAAAGATAATGTAAAAAACAGTGGCGTGTGTTAATGTATAATTGAATCAATGGAACAAGTAATCAGGGGAATTATGCCACCATTAAACAAGGATTTGGATGGTATTAATTGTGTCTGGTTAGAATAAAGTTGCACAAGAATATTCCAATGGTATATTACCAACTGTTGGCTTATCTGCCTCATTATTTCATTTTCCAAAAAGAAAATGGGAATCAAAAGGGTATAATTCAGATGCCAACCTAAGCATCTTTATTTATACTCTTCCATTCATTTTCTGTTACCCCTTTTTCTTTGTTGCTATACTTTCTCTATGTGTTGATGCATATCTCTCCTCTGCTAATTAATATTTTCATCTTCTACAAAGAACAAGGTAAAGTAAGACAGGCAAGTCTCTTTCTTTCTTTCTCCCTCTGTGTGGTGTTAGTTATTTTTTATTTACGTGCTACTCGACTATTTTATCAGTACCTGCTACCTCTCGCCAATATAGGTATCTAGTTACTTCTTTCTCAATAGTCTTTCCTAGTTGTTTATCCCATTTCAAAAATTAAGTTCCATTTCGTTCCTGGTTTATGTTCTGGTTGTTTGATCCTTCTACTCTGATATTGTTATTTACTGCATATTGTTAATGGAAAGGGAAAATAGAAGTGGAGCTTTTGAAGGGATTGAGAACCATATATACTTAGAGAATAGAGAGAAATAAAGATAAGTCAAAGTGATTGCTTTTTTGTTTTACCATTAATTACTGCACTTGATGTTGTTATATATTTTGCTGAAAAACTCCACTTATGGGAGAAAACATGCTGTCTCACAGTATATGAGTAATGACTTCATGTTACCGTTTCATTTTAGTGTTGAAGTAGTCTGTTTTAGGAATCAATAATTGGTTAATTCGTTGCCTATAATACATGTTAATATGTTATGGGGTTTCTCAGCTTTAAATTAAAGGGTCCGTGCAAATTTTCTGTCAACCTTTGAAGCCTTGACTATAAGATGTAGTTTTCTTATCTACCAATATAAGTGTGTGTGTGTGGCTTAATGAATAAAAAGTGGGATTTATTACTCGATGGCAAGGACTAAAGCCTGTAGTAGGATGTTTCCCAGGAGTGATCAAAGGGAAGAGAGGACAGTTTGAAGCATTTCAGGTTGGCTTATTTCCTTGTTTTCTTGTTTGTTTTACCTTGGTCCTTGTTCCCTTTTTTAAAAGATTCTTGTTTGGTTGTTTAAATTTATTGATTTCGTTGGATGAATTACGTAGACATGCTAGTTTTTGGTGGTTAAGTTTGCTGAGACATGGAATAAGAACCCTATCTAATTCCTGGAACTAGAAAATGAAAATGACATCCTTTACTCGTGTTTATATAAAGAGATAGTAAAGGTTAATATGGTCAATTTCATTGCTAATTAATGTTAAAAGGTGAGTTTCTTAATATGTATGAAAATAACCAAAAAATCACTTATTTTGGACCAGAGGGAGTATGTGATATTGCATACTGATTGCTGAGAATCATTGCCGCGTTGAAGATTTTGAGACTTGGGTCTTGGATCTTCACTAACTTTTTCTTGAAGTCTGCAGTTTCTTGGGTGATTCATTGAAAAGGATAATTATCATTAATAAAAGGAATAATGATTTGCAGTTGTCAATACAACGAAATTCAGAAAATGCTCTATGCCCTAACCAACTACAAAATTAAAGGTGGCAGGGGCTGTAATTCCTTTTGCTGATCCTTTTGTCAGCACAGTGTAGTTTCGCTTCTTTATCCTTCCTCCTGTGATGTGATTCTTGTATGTGAGACACTGTACAGTTAATTCGTCGTCATCTTGAAACGAGGATTAAGATTAATTAATCCCATCCTTTTGGTTTCACCGGTTAAGTTACCAGTGGACTGAATTCGCCGCCATAGCTTCATGTGAGGGCTGCGCTTACTCTTACTGGTTTTAGACGACTTACACCTCTTCGCATACACTCAAATGCCAACATAAACAAGCCAAAAAAGAACACCAAGAAGATCTGGAGCCTTGCTACAATGTCGACCATGACAGACACATTGCTTCCCTCGGGAGAACTTTTTCTTGTAAGTGGGGTTATACTCCATCCTGATACAGACAATCAACTATTAGAGGGATGCAACTTAACCAATAAGCTTAAAACAAATAATGGGACTTAGTGATTGATGGAAGTATGTTGTGTCATTCGCGCTCGTTACCATATTACATTATTGTTACCATTGTTTGCTACTTGGTTGTTTTATCTTATCTCCACTGTTCTTTGAGCCGAGCATCTATCGAAAACAACCTCTCTATCTTTATAAGGTAGGGGTAAGGTCTCTCCCCAGACCTCATTTATGGGATTGCACTGAGTTGTTGTTGTTAGTGATTCATGGAAGTTTATACATCCTACAGAGACATTTTCCCTCAATCTCCCCCTATTCCAAATAGTCTAGTTTCATTATGCAGCCTTTTTCTTGGAAGAGTAGGTAAAACAAAACAGATATAAGTACTTACCGGTGCTTTTCTTGGGCAAATTTGTCCAGTCATACGGGCTAATCTTACTTGAAGATGCCTTGATCAACTCAAGAAGTGCGTCATTGACCTAAAATTTTTAATAATCGTCATATACTTTCCATTAACAATCAGCATACATATGACTACAGCCACAGAAATGCCAATAGATTGGACATATCTAAAATTTTGTATATGCTGATTGACTCATAAATATAAAAGTGCAATATAATGTTTTCATTTGATCATGATATCCATGTGAATGTTTGATTCTCCTATTTATTTTATCTTTTTCAAGAACCGACAAGTTGTCTGCTGTCAAAACATTCATTGATGTTCTGCATGACACTACAAGGCCCTAGCTTTGAAAACAAAAATGAAAAGAGAAAGACCTGCTAGATCTAAACAGTTTGCATTGTATAAAATACCCTCTCACTTGCTAAAAAACCAAACGCAATAAAAATACTCAGGTACCTGAACACTTATAATAATTGTCAGATTATAGTGTCCAGTGTGCTTGAAAGGATTCTAGTATGCGTTGACCCATTTTCAACCCGTTTAAAAATGGGTAGGTCGAGTAAGGTTTTGTTACAGGCGGGTTGGGTGGGTTAAAGAAATTTGGGTGAAATTTGGTGTTCACAAAAACTTTGAGAATCTCATAAGGTATTATGCATTTCAAAATGTCCTATAGTGACTCCACCAAAAGGTTGATTTTGGCCTATTAGTGACTCCGCCAAGCGCCAAGCAATTGATTTTCTACATCGGCCAAATGATCCTCAGAATCACTAAAAAGTTGCAGATCAATAGTTCTAATAAGAGTAACCCAGCCCGCCGGCTTTTTAGAGCAAATTCACATAATCGTATATAGAATCAGACGTTCTCTTGACCTACATCTTAGCACATAACTTTAACATGATGTGCAGAGCACCTATGGTTCTGTATTAAAATAATAAATACATAAAGTTATACCTCTTCTGTCCTTTCATGACTAACAAGATGTCCTCCAGGAAGCTCTACCATTCTAGCATACGGATATAATTTCTTTGCAAGACTCTTCGCATGGCATAATTGAGCAATGACGTCGTCCCTACGCAGAAGAAATACTGATTTATATCTAGATAATATTTCAAAAAAAATAATACTGATTTACATCTAAATAATATCTCTGGCTGTTTGAGATTGTATCTGTAGCAGATAATGCCTTCGAATTACAGATAAATATACCTGCCATGAATAACAGATATGAGGAAACCAGCAGAGCAGATAGATTCAAGATCAGCTCGCGATATCTTATGAGTCCAGCAAGCATTTATCTGCCCATCAAATCCACAATTTGACTGCATCCCCGATGCTGATATGCCTTTGACGTATTCCTACCACACCCAAAAAAGACCCTAGTAAGCACCTTATTATTGTTTCTTGTAGATTACTTTACAAGATAAAAGACGCCCGAAGAAACATCTAGAACATAATGTGTTTAGGTCACTCACTTGATACAATATTGCTCTTCGGGTTTTCGTTCCCACATATTCCTCGAGGTATTCCTGTAAAGTGAAAAACGCAGATACGTTATTTACAAATCATTCCCTGGCCATGAGAAATGACACCTCATTACATTTTTATATCTAGTCATAATCAACGAATTCAATCAGCAATTTTATAAAAAATAATGCACATGAAACCATTGTGTTTACACATGGCATGTTCATGCAACTTTTGAGAAGTATTAATTAAGTGAATAATTAATCAACCTTTGAGTAATGGGTGTCTAAATCAACAGCAGCCCTCTGCTCAGGAGTTTTTGCCTTCAAAAAGCGGACAGCAATAGATAGAGTTTGACGATCGAGCTGCAGCAAAAAAGACCATATGAGCACGAGAACAAACACAAAAATCTTTCTTTGATTCAAGTATATAATGAGCAACAGACCGAGGAAGCATTGTGTTTTAAGGTACAACAACAATTTCGCTCGCATCTATTTGATGCAACTAGCAGACTCATTAATTTTACAGGATCTTATTCAACACAGTAATTTATTTTAACTACGCAAACAAGTTGACTATTTCTTTAGTTTTCAGATCAACTGCTTGACTCTTCTATGATGCCATCCAGAAAGTTGGTGGGACTAGGAACTATAGTGGATGGCCGTACCACCTACCAAAGCAGCAGGTTGACATACAGCATTTCACTGGATTAAGGGGTTGAGTATCTCCCGGGCCCTTCGAGAGCATGAAGTAGAATGGGATTACCTAATCTACAAATATATGCTATATTTCTGATATTTATATATCCCATACGAAAATATGAGCATGCAAGCTCCGCCTTTCCTCGCACGTGGGATTGCTACTACAGTACTATAGTTTAAGCGTTTGCATCTTGATATTTCTATATCTCATTCTAATTAATTCAATTGCAGGGGGCGTATCAAGTGAATATATGCTACTGATTGTGACCATAAAAACCAGCATAGCATTTCCTCCTTTCTCAGACACATTAGCATCTCTCTCTCCCACACGCACGCGCACACACGAACATACACGATTGGACAAGATAAGAATATTCCGCAGAAAGTGAAATCTGTGTTTTTCCTTGTTGAAAATCATACAAAATGCCAATGTTCCACTGTGCCACATGCTCTTTTCTCATGATAGTGGTGTCTGGGGAAGCTTCAGCGTATTTCGACTATTCCACTGGGTACCTGCTGCCTCCCACAAGCACAGATACCAGGTAACTCTGCCCACCAAGCCTTGGGCAGATGAAGAAATCACCTAGTTTTTTTGCCTCCGTTGGGATTTGAACCTGAGACCGCATGATTCTCCTCTGACTTCATTAACCACTAAGTCACACCCTTAGATGCCCTCTATGCCACATGTTGATGGATACAATCTTTAAGATTTATGTACCACACCTTATTCTTATCATTATGTATAGCTTTTGGATAAGTATGTACAGGAGCCACCTTCTAAGCACCAAAATAACTGGGTATCGTGACATAAGCATCATCTAGCAGTAAATCATGAGACAATTGGTGACGACATCATGCACTTACAGCTAGTTTGTAACTGTTAGGAGCAAATGTTATCTAAGAAGTTCGGGTCTGTGCCTTACAATTCATGCTAGTAAAGATCAGTTCTTGGTTAAGAACTTATTCACTCTGCACAAAAGTTGCAAATTTTGAATGCTGCATCTGAGTGTTCAAGCCTACATGATGATTTGCCTAGTGCAAACGGGACTTCAGGAAAGTGCAGGTGTTATAGGATCCATTTTCAATTTGATCATGTTTCTTATTTCCGGGATAAACAAGTATTATTCCGAGAAAAGGAATCAAACAAGGATAAAATTGCATTAGGAGTTCCAAGTTCTTGATTAAGCAGGCTTAGAGCATCACTGCATCACTGCACCAGAAGTCCAACCAGAAAGTATCTTTTTGAGTACACACAAGCAACATAGAAATGTATTCCCCCAGAAAGAGAAAATTCTTTCTGTGATTTGTTCAAGAGCCACATACCAGTGTTATTAAAAGCCAGCACTTGGCCGCCCTAAACCGATTAAGCCGCGCGAAGCGAGAGGTTATTGCTTCCTGGGTTAAGTCATGCGTTTCAAAGAAGTTTTGCGCGCCAAACATTGACGCGCCAAGTGAGCCTAATGAGAAGTAGCAGGCTTTTGGATCTCTTAGAGAGCTGGATTAATATTGACATTATTGTATATTTGGATGCTGAAATGTTATTTAGTAGCAATTCAATTATTATAGTAATAAATTCATACCATATGTTTATATTTTTAATTTTTTCTTAAATTGTGCGTTTCATTTCAAAAAAGTGTGTGCTTCAATTCTCGCTTTTTGCTTCAAATGGACCTGCCACATTCTATTCCTGGAATTATCTTGACGACCACCATAGGCAAGGTTAGCACTTCTCTACTTTATCGTCACTACGCTGCTGTGATTGAAATGAACGTGATCGAGAAATGAATTAAGAGAGGAAATGGATACACTCTGTCACCTCTGATCAGAACAACATAAGGGTTCTTCGCTCAGATAGAGGGGAATCAATGATGTAACTGTAGCAGCCAAGGAAAAAGAAGGTTTTGTTTTGATGAAGCGATGTGTCCCTGACTAGTTTGCAGTGCGCAAATTCCACCTTGCTACTTTAAAAGATGACCATCAATGCCATGTAAAGTGGAAAATTTTGAAAATGCAAGAATGGCCTCAATTCTTCTCAATTAACAGAATGCATCTATTCTTTTATTTTCAGTAAGCTGATTTTTATAATGTCTTACATGGAAGGAGCTGGCGATGCTAAAGAAGACCAAAAAGGATGTTCTTTATTTCTATATTCAGGTATATCCATACTAGGGGTGGCAAAATGGTTAAAAGAAAACAGTTAACCACCCATATTATCTACTAAAAAATGGGTTGGATAATGAACTTTTTAAAAACGGGTCAAATATGGATAAGAACCATATTATCCATTTAGAAAATGGATAACCAATGGGTCTAACTTTTACATTTGTAAAGCCTCAAATTGGGGGTTCGTCAAGTTGGGGAGACTAAGAATTCTCCCAAAAGTGATCATATGCAAGAAGTCATGGATAATATGGGTTACCCATATTATCCGCCGGTTAACCCTTTTTTATCCATATTAAATATGGGTCGGCCGGTCGGGTCGGATAATTTATCCGTTTTTCATTACCCGTTTTCGACCCGAACCCTATCCGACCCGCACGTTTGCCACTCCTAATCCATACCATTTAACTCTTGAACAATATGCTTAATGACAGATAGTTGAAGAGAAGATCTTACCCTGGGTATACATTCATAGCCTCCCCCTGTGACATTCAGTAAAGCCAAAGATAAAACTCTCTTAGGCACCAATGCAGCCAATCTGCAAGCTATCATCGCTCCTGAATGATTGAGAAAAAAGTACAAGCAAGCATAAAAATTAGCACATTGATCACATAAGCATAGTATAGAAACTGCATCTTTTGCCATATACTGCACACTGAAGATCGAAAGTATCTATCTCAAAATCAAATTCAATTAAAGATGTCCAAGTCAATAATAGAGATTGACAGTCAATAATGCCAACCAAAGAGGATAGAGTCAGAAACTTACCCATGGAATGGCCAAAGACGTGTGCTTTTTCCCACCCCAAGTGATCCATTATAGCAATTGCATCTTTTGCCATAATCCTCGTGCTGCACCAAACATTAATTAAACGTGTTAACTACTTAACTTTAGTTTTCAGCTAAGAAATAGAAAAGTAGTTGAAGGTCTTTTCATATCTAATTGGAACCCTACAAGAACTTAATTCAATCTTGAACTCTGCTCCTATTAGCTGTAAATTTTCTATATTAATCCAAAAAGTTTTGCCTTTTCCTATTTTATAGCTAAAAACAGCTGATTAAAGGCAATTAAAAATTCTGGTAAAATGGGGACTTACGTGTACTCAGACTTTTTAGTGGGGATGGAGCTTAAGCCCATTCCACGATTGTCAAAAGCACAGACCTCTATACCGGAGCTCCGATCACCGGCCGCCGGCGATTCATCATCATTAGGAGTAATCGTCCCTGTGAGTGCCTTGATCTGTGGGGCCCACGAACTGTGTGTCCCAGCCAATCCTTTATCATTCAAAAAGAAAAGAAATTTCAGAAACAAAGCGAATTATGAAAAACATCAAAAAACAAAGAGGAAAACGAAGAATACCAATAATTAAGAGAACTTTGACCGGGCCTTGACCATAAGTTCTATAAAAAATCTTGGTTCCATTGTTGCCAGTTGCATCCACACCGTTCTGGTATTTGCTGATTTCACAGAAAGGCATGTTTGGCCAATTCAACAATTTTCAGCTTTCCAAAAAAAATCAAGTCTTTATAATTTATAGAGCCTTTACAGAAAAAAAGAAGGAAGAAATAATAAAATAGGAGAAGAAAGTTATGTTGGAATTATTATGAATGAGAAATCCAGAATGAAGAATTAGGAAATGGGAACAAGATTTTGTTTTTGTATAATGTGGCTTTTTCCTTTAAATAAACTTCCATTGACAATCCTTAGGCTACTCGTTTTTGGTTTTTTACTTTTTTTTTTAAATTTTTGTTTCTAATTATTTGGAGGTTAAGCGGGGCCGAGTGAATACGTGGCAGATAAGAAGCGGTGGATCAAAAAGCAGCATGGACGGTCGGCTTTGTGTAGCTCAGCTTGCTTTAGAAAAAGTCAAAGTCAAAGAAATCGCTTTGGCGAAGCATAGTAATACTATGATAGTATGAAATTCTGGAAGAAATGGTCTTGATTTTGAGGCAGAGTAACGAAATAATATCAAGCAAAATTAAATAAATAATACGAAAAAACAAATTCTTCCGCGCCTAATATTTATATAAACAAGTAAGTATATTATATATGTTTGCATATAAGTTTATATTATTTAATTAGGATTAATAAGTGTATATTTGCATTGTCACTTAAAACATAATAAGTTAATTTGCTTTTGTAGACATCGAAATTTTAATGGATCGAGCTAAATCCTAAATTCAAGATACTACAAGACCTCTTGAAATTCTAGGAGTCTGTCAGTGTTGCTTGGAGGCTACTCTACCTAAACCCTAGGTCACTCCTATAAAAAGGGTTACATGATCCTTTAAAAAATATCTCAAAAATGGAGATCATCTCGAAAATCCCATAAACTCACGGGATATTCACAAAGAGATCAAGAAGTGGCCGAATAATTCTTGATGATCAAATACTTCAAGAAGATCCACAACATACTTCATGGATATCAAATAAATCCATGAAAGCCCGCAACATCCTACGTTCGAGAAACACATTGTTCTAGCCCTCGAATCACGGAAATAATCAGGAGAGAAGAATCAAGGAAACAAACAGAATTGTACCCACGTCATTTTATCAATTAAACTATGTTTCTTCATATTTATATTGTGGTTGCAATTTATTTTTGTATCACAAATAATTTGTTGCAAACAAATTGGCACGCCCAGTGGGACCAGTTCTGCCCTTCATCTCTTCCTCCTACAAACCAAAAACTTCAAGTTTCAAGATTATTTGTTGTGATGGTCGGGTACTTCAAGTCTTGTCTTAAAATTTCGCAAGCCTACACCCCGACAAACCTTGAAGTAGGGGGCATTTGTAGACATCGAAATTTTAATGGATCGAGCTAAATCCTAAATTCAAGATACTACAAGACCTCTTGAAATTCTAGGAGTCTGCCAGTGTTGCTTGGAGGCTACTCTACCTAAACCCTAGGTCACTCCTATAAAAAGGGTTACATGATCCTTTAAAAAATATCTCAAAAATGGAGATCATCTCGAAAATCCCATAAACTCACGGGATATTCACAAAGAGATCAAGAAGTGGCCGAATAATTCTTGATGATCAAATACTTCAAGAAGATCCACAACATACTTCATGGATATCAAATAAATCCATGAAAGCCCGCAACATCGTACGTTCGAGAAACACATTGTTCTAGCCCTCGAATCACAGAGATAATCAGGAGAGAAGAATCAAGGGAACAAACAGAATTGTACCCGCGTCATTTTATCAATAAAACTATGTTTCTTCATATTTATATTGTGGTTGCAATTTATTTTTGTATCACAAATAATTTGTTGCAAACAATATACTTATATTTTTAAAAAGTCATATGACAGCTGAAATAAAAGGGATAGTATGGCCCTACAGCAATTATGATGACATTTATTTCGTTTACGCACTGAGGCTCCTTATTAGGTAAAGCGTGAGAAAGCTTTCTAATTGCTTCAAGAATGGAAATATTGGTCACAAATGCTAAAATTAATTGCGTATTGGCATGTAATAATCATGCATGTTGAGTCTAACAAAACTTGAATTTTCTGACGATTCTTAAAATAGCAATTTGTATGTAACAGACTAAGAAAAATGACTGTCATTAATTCCTACCAGATATTGGAGTTTTTTTACTCTTGAAACACAAAGAAAGTAAATTAATGAGAAAGTATATAAAAACATATTAAAGTAAGTCAGTTTAAAGTATTGATATTATGCTCATACAAATTCTAAAACTTTTCATCTTAAGAAGAAAAACATTATTGTCTTTCACCTTATCCTCATTGCAAATTAGCTACTCCCTCCAGTTCACAATAAGTGACCTAATTGATTTTAGCACGCCCATTAAGAAAATACTAAATGCTATACAAAAATACCTACTATGACTAAACTACCCCTGATTAAACATTTAATGGGAGGAGTAAGAAAACTTTTTAGGGATATGTACATAGGGGTTATTTTGTAAAAAAAAATTGAATTCGTTTTTGATTACATAACTGGACACTTATATTGAACAAAAATGAAAAAGCAAATTGGTCACTTATTGTGAACCGGAGGGAGTAGCAGTGATATTTGATCAGTACATATACCACCATATTTATTATCGCAACACCAAAAAAAGTATTTATCGAAAAGTGCTTGGACGGAGAAGATCAAATACAAATTGAACAGCTTCAAAAAAGATAAAACTTAAAGCATGAAGAAGAAGAAGAATAAGGAGAAGAGAACTTTTTCATAACCGAAAGCCAGTTGCCCCAACTTGTAGTGGTCCACCAAAGGCTATATTTTCGGCCGCATAATTCAATCCAAAAAGTTAGCTTAAAAGGTAAGGATTTAGAGTCCAAGGAACTCATTCATCTTCGATATGGGATTACATCAACACCCCCCCTCCCCTCCCCTCCCCCCCCCCCACACACACCCCGGCCACTGGCTCCGATACCATGATAAATAGACAGTGGACCTTATTC